GGTCTGGGGGAGGGGTGGATTTGTGGGGTTTGGGCAGGGGAGGTGGTTTGTGGGGCACGCGGGGAGGGTTGGCGGTGGCTGTGCGGGCTTTGGATGGGGAGGAGGGTTGTGGGGGGTGGGATGCGAGTCCCCATTGTGCGCCTGAGCCCAGCTCCGGGGCCCTAGGCCGGTGGTAGCCGCTTTGCTGTTGCTATGGAGACTGCGGCTGCCGCCCGGGCCTGTTTGTTGCACTTGGGTCCCGGCACAAAGAAGGAGCGAGGGAGCCGGGACCGCTCGCAGCCGGGGGCGGCGGCAGGTAAGAGCTCCCCGGGCTGGAATCGGGGGAGGGGGCGCTCTGGGGAGAAGGGGACAGGTAGATGCTCTGCGGGGTGAGGGGAGCTGGCGGGGGAGGAGCCTGCTGGTGGGGAATCTGCCCCACTCCTCCGATGGGGAGCCTGCAGGGCCGTTTGGTGGCTTGCAGCCCGGTTGCAGTCATGCCGGTAAGGTGCCCCCCTGTCTCCCCCCCCCCCATGCCTCTCCCCGTCCCCGGATCTTCTATAGGGCGAACAGAGTCTCCTGGGACGCTGTGCTGCCTGTCCCCCAAAATAATGTCAGGCCAACGAAACATCCCTGAGGAATTTGTTTGGCGACTTCTGCTTCCCAAGGTGATGCTATTTATAGGGTGACACTTGTGTCCCTATGCGAGTGGGTCTGCCCTGCAGCGGGTAATTTAAAAGGTGGGAACCCAAGGAGCAAACCAGTCCTAATGGAGCAAATCCTGACCCTGAACTGAAGGGGAGACTCCTTACTGGCTGAGGCTGAGTTCAGGGTCACAGTTTAACAAATGAAGTATTAAAACCTCAGAAGTAATATTGTCCTGGTGTTGGTCAGCTTAAACTGCCACAGTGTCAGGATTTTTGTGAATTTAAAGGCCAGTATGGCTTATAACTCTCTGGTCCTGATTCTTGTTTGGTCTCACTTTACACCAGTTTTACAGCTGCGTGCTTCTGCTGACTCCAGTGGAGTTAGTCCTGCTTTTTACCAGTGTGGGAGGAGAATACGTTCATCTGTGTTTCTGTGCCTGTATTTGGAGTAAGGAGTAAATGAGCTATTAAATTTCATCGCAAAATCCTTCATTACAAGAAATGGAAACTTTCAGATGAATCTGTGAGTGAGGCTTGTGGCATTTTTAGGTAAGGGGCATTATAATTGTTATCTTGCCTTTTTCATATTTTTTTTCTAAGAAGTGGAAGTTGGAAAAAAGTTAAACAGTTCAGATACGTAGGCCTCAGTCCTTAAAACATGTACATGCTTAACTAATTTCCTTTCAATGGGACTACTCAAATCAATAAAGTTAAACACATACGTGTTTTGCAGGATCTGGTTTTTGGTTTGTATTGTTGTAATTGTCAGTTAGTATTGCATTACAACTACATACAAGCAACTTTGCAATGGCAATAAGAATGCATAAACAAAATAACAAACAAGCAAACAAAATAAGAAATGGGAGATGATGTAATGTTGCCACAGACATTTGAGGAACAGGAGAGGCACAAGGAAAAGCTTTCAGATTTTTTTAAGCTTGTTTGTTTTTCTTTAAATCAAAACACTCAACTTTGAGGCTACATAATGTTGTAAACAAATGTTCTAAATGATCAATTGTTAACAATTATAAAAATCCCAGGAATTTATGCATGAATATTTAAAACCTGTTTTAGGCAAACAAAATTATTTAAATTACCCTAAACCAAACTGCAGTGTATAATGTAACTGTGGCTTCAGGAAAAAAATACAGGAACAATTTTATCACAAAAATGTTGTTAAAGTTGTTCTCATAAAATAATTCTATTATTACCAACATATAATGTCAGTTCTCTACAAAGAACTGTATATACACAGAGTTAAGTTGTATCCCTTTGCTGGACTTTTACTAGAGGGTCAACCCAGCTCTCATTGTCTTGGGTACTTATTTTGCTGCCATCACTATAGTATATAAGCACTTCCCAGTCATTTAAAGCATTATTATCATCCCCACCCCTGACACAGACCCTGTGAGGTAGGGAAGTATTATTATCCCTATTTTACAGTTGAGGAACTAAGGCACAGATTTTCAAAGGTGCTTAGGTGCCTAAAGATGCAGATAGGCACTAAGGGGATTTTCAAAAGGAGGGACCTAACCTCGCTAGGCACTTTTGAAAATTCCAGTAGGTGTCTATCTGCTTTTTTTGGTGGCTGAACACCTTTGAAAAATTGCCAAAGTGACTTGCCCAAGGTCACAGAGGACTTCTGTGACAGACCAGAGAATTGTACCCTAGTCTACTAAGTCTCAGGCTAGCAGTCTAGTCACTGGATCATGTTTCTCCTTTTAAAATGAACAGGATTGGATCAGGCCTTGTATATCCACAGATTATTAAAGAAGTTAAAGAGAAATACTTAAGATGTTCCTGCAGTTAGACATAGGATGTTAGAAACGATTTTATATAACATCACATTGCACTTATATAATATTTTTTCATTCACGGCCCTTGAAGATCTGTACAAAGATGAGTGAGCATTATTATTCCCAATTTACAGATGAGGTAATTTAAGCAGAGAAGTCCACTGAGTTCTGGGTCTATTTGAGATGGACTAGGAAGTACCCTCCACCACCTAAAAGAGAGAAATAGGTGCACTTCAGGCATTTAGGGATTTTGAGCACCCTATAATGCTTATGACTTTGTGGTAGTTAGAACTAGTAAGAAAGGGAGAAGTGGGTGTTGGCAGAGGGAGGAGGGAAAGTTGGAGGGGACAGAGGGCACTGGGAAACAGCTACTATATACTTACTAAGGTGCATTGGAGGAGATGGAGATCATGTGGCACATGAGAAATGTGAACACATTCAGAATATAAGGAAAGGTATGGGAGAAGGATATAAGGAGTGCAGATATGAGAGAGGCATGAACCCAATGCTTTTTTTCCTTTGTTACCTTTAAATGTATGTAAAAATATAGAATAATTTCATTATTTTCTGATCTTCTAAAGTATCACATAGCACTAGTGAGGATGTGGGAAATAAATATCACAAAAAAAGAAACCTGTCTTACATGTGTTCTTTATTATTATTATTTGTTCTCAGCTTATTACTTACCTTCAGATGATCAGTTTGCATTATGGGGTCAGTATTTTAGGTTTGCTAACAAATGGATGAAAGCTTTTCTGAAGAGTCTTGTGGTGGTGGTGATTACTTAGAGAATGAAGATCAGAAAAGGAGACACCTATCTGGTTCCAGTTCATCAAAAGATATTAGGAAGACAGTTGAAGATACACTGTCTACTCCTTCAAATTCTCTAGATTTGAGTAGGAAAAAACTTCAGCATCTTACTGAGGAAATATACAAATTACCCAACCTTAAAGTGAGTAAATTGCTGTGAGTAACTCTGTTAATTACACACTTGACTTAAATTTTGTAGGCACCAATTAAGGGCCCAGTACTGCCCTCATTAGAGTTAGTGGAAAATCTACAGATTCTTAGCTATGATTCTTTCCCCTCTGCTTTCTAAAAACTAGTACTTAATTAAATAAATGATTCATTTGTGTAATTTATATAACTGATTGTACCAATCATCTCCTTCATGGTTTTATGAAAATGTAATTTTTAGAATAGTTTATAGTTCAGTTTACTCGGGTTTTCACAGTAATGATCTTTGTGCTAAGGTAACAGGCATTCTACTTTAATTCTGGTTTTAAAACATATTTATTTTTCCTACATTAGCATTTGCATCTGGAAGGAAATGCTTTAGCCATAATTCCTAAGGATTTATTTCAGCAGCTGCCAAATCTTGTTTGGCTGGATCTCCGGTATAACAAAATTAAAACTCTTCCCTCTGGAATTGGATGTCACAAGTAAGGCATTTATTGTATTGATAATATAACAAAAAATTATTCTTCCTCTATTTGTCTCTAATGTAATTTTCTTATTCTCAGGCTTTTATGCAGGTTAGTTCTATATTGACGTCAGAACTGAAGAACAGTAAGCAAGAATTATATTTAATAACGCTCAACTAAATGAGCAAGTACAACTAACTAGTGCAGTAGATTTGTACACAAACCCTTTTACCTCCCAAGGCGTATGGCCTGATTCCCCTTTCATTTCAATTTTACACCATTTTAATTCTATTGACTTCCATTGAGTTTGGTTTACGCTGCTGTGAGGAGGAGAAAATTGAGAGATAAACCAAGCTCATAGTTTCAAATCCTAACTTGGGTCATGTGAAAATGGATTAGCAATCAAATAAACTAAGTAAATCATGGTGAGACATAAGAGTACTGTGGAGCAGGGACACAAAAATAAACCTGACAGCTAGATACTGAAATGAATGATGATTACAGTGGCAGGAAGTCATGAGTGCAGTGAGAAGACTAGTGTAGTAGTTCCATGTATGAGATAACTAGTGTGATACCTTGTCACTTTCTGAGGTATTAGTGATGGAAAAGGCCAAAGACCACAGTTTTGGCAATATTAAACCAATGAAATTGGCATGAACAAAAAAACTAAATTCATCTCTGTATTAAAAGAAATATTGAGCTAAATAAGAGTTTGCTTATTATGATCAAAAAGGAATCCTAGCTTCCACACTGTAGTTATAGGGGAAGAGTCAACTTCTGAAAATAGTGAGATGTTGGATAATTTTCCAAAGGGAAAATACAGTTTCATGGCTTTTTTATTTAAACAAGATGCTTAATGGTATTTTAACACAATTTATTGTATGTGATTTGTATAGCATTATATCATCAATTTATTATCAAAAAAATGAGTCGATGAATCTGAAAATTGTCAAGTTTTGTACCTTTTTAAAATTATAACTTTTTTAAAAGGAAGACAGGATTAATAGTATTTTCTGTCATGTAAATTTGCCATGCATCAGTGTACACATCTCTGTTTGAGTCTTGAGATTAGTAAACTCTCTGTATGTGCATGTATCTTCATATAAGTAATATACCACTCACTAGTGCTAACTTTTTGAAAACTCCCAGCATAAAACATTGAGAGATATTACTGTGCATTCCACTGCATTAGTAGAGTTTCATTTAATCCTTACCCCATATTATAGTAGAATTTGTTGTAATTATTGTTGCTAATCGGTGCCAGAGTACACCAAACCCTTAGGGTGTCAGTAGTGTGCCAGATGTACCATGACATGGAGGCAAGCACTGTAGGGGCTTCAGCAGATAGTCCTGGCAGGTCACAATAATCACTGAGACACATGGTTAAGGGACAGGTTATTTTACTGGAAACTTGCAAAGATTCCCATTTCCCAATACGTTTTCTCTGTGATTTACAAAGATGGCTTTAAAGTTTGCTTTCACAATTTTTGCTGCTTTTTTCCCCCCTCATTTTTCAAGAATATCAGGCTTTGACTTACTATTTTTGTTGGACGATTATTTATTGGAGGTTATTTGGATGACATGAATAGTGAAGTCACATGAGACTGTAATCTCAGCTGTTGCTCTGTGTGCCCCAATTGAGAGGAGAGGGTATGCTGAGTGGATCCAGTAGGTGAAACTCTGTCTTTGGGAAGAGTAGCTGCAGGAAAGGCCACTGTAGGAGCAGGACGAAAGATTTTATCCTTCACTAACCTTTTGGGCTTCCCATGCTCACAGTCCATTTATTCAGGGCTATGTGCAGTAGCTAGTGTTTGAGTTTAAGAAATAATACAGCACTTTAGAAAGAATAAATACAATGAAACAGCTGCATACTGTAGCTTTTAGATTATCATACTGAATGACTTAAAAAAACTGGTAAAATGTAAAGCAAGTATGACAGTTTCTCATATTACTTTGTATGTTGCATATGTCAGTGAGGCAGATCAGTCACTGAAAGGTAATGGTTTAGAGGGAGATAATATTGCATGTAGTATGAACAATAAAGGGGAGGATTAAAAATTATAATGATTTCAGTTTATAAATATTAACACCAAGCAGTTCATTTACTACCATTTCACTAAAAATCTGTGTGACCAAAACCAATTTTAGATTTAGTTTTTAGTTTTCACAGTGTAAAACCTAATAAATTCATCAACACTTTACAGATGTATTCAGCCCTTCCATTGGGTCCAGGATCTTCTCAACTCACAAAATCTGGCCTTATGTTGTGAGGGAAGTTCAATTTTTTTCATCTCACAAGGAGCAGAGAACCTCAGAAATCAATTAAACAAAGTATAAACCAAAAGGGATACTAGTTATCCTTGTGACCATGCGTCACAAAACCAGGCCTTATAGTAAATCCTTAAGACTTGGCAGCCCTTTTAATTTCAAAGAGAATTTTGTCTCTAACCTGTTATATAACAACTTTTGATGGTAACATTGAGGAATTTACACATATAAAAAAATTAGGCTTCTAGTTTAAGCTAACAAACATGGAAGTGCATACCAGAATCAAACAGATGTTACATATGGATGGATTCAGGGTGCCCCCTTTCATGTGCCAGCTATGGACTGGTAACAGACCTTCCATCCTAGAGAGAGATATGAAGATGTGTTCTCTTTAAGATACTTTAATGCAAGGCAAGGTATAGCTGTTGTATTCTCAGGAGAGGTATGTTACACATAGCACCACTTAATGCTGAATGGTATAATACAGTTATTAGTGGCTGAACAATATAATACAGTTTAGCATTTCATTACACACCGTATTGTCTTCTGGTGTAAGAGTTTTGATTTTTTTGTTTGTTTAATTGATTTCATTATGTTTCCTGGATTAAGTTGTAACATTGACCTTTTGATGTTGTTTTAAGAAATTTATTATTTTTATTTTCAAAAGTGGGAGCATCTTGCATGGTTAAACTGAGGTTGGGTCAAATACTGCCAATGATTCTGGATGCCATATCACGAGCTCATTGTTTTCCATATTTGATGGGAAATATGGAAAACAACTATATCCATGTAATTGTATTCTGTTCTGTTCTAATCATTTTAATGAATTCAGACATATTAACGAAGTCTATTTCTGATCCTGAGGCCTGATCCAAAGCAAACTGATGCCAATCGGAGTCTTTACATTGTCTTTAGTGGGTTTTGGATTAGGCCCTGAGTGAATAATCATAGGGAATCATGGATCAATTAGGAGTACAGTACGTGATTGTCTTTCACTGAACTGAATAGTCCGATTAAACAAAATAATATGTAAAAGGGTATGATATGTAAAAGTTTTAATTTAATTTATTTTTCTTTAAAATTAAGTGGCTGTGAAAATGCATATGATAAATTAAAACTTTTAAAAAGAGATAAACAAAGGTGGTGTTGAAACCACCAAACTTCTTTTTGTTTTGTCGTATCTTAACAATATAAGTTAGTTCTATCATTTTCATTCATCAAACTTGGTGTCAATTTTGTAAGGGAAAACCCATTGAAAATAGAGTACTGATAATGCCTTGTCTATTTGGAAAAAATGTAGTCTAAGAAACTGTTAGTTTTGTTTGCATATAATATCTATGTTAAAAGAATGTTATTAAGGTTACAAAGTCAAGTGATCAGATGTTAGGAAATGCCAGAATTAAGGTTGCCTGTACATGTCTGTTTAAATTTTGACAAAGTTATAATCCAATTGAAAACCACATCTTATAATGGAAGTGTCTGACAACCTTAATAGTAGGTGGCGCTACCAAAAATAATCAATTTTTTTTTTAAAAAGCAGGAAACATAAAATATTGAAATGGTATGCAACAATAGCTTACATTTGAAAGCAGACATCAGGCCATGAGACCTTGAATCACTGAGATACACAAGCCATAGTTGAGCGTTGATGGTAGCTGTGGGGAAGCATCCCATTTCCTTCAGGTATCATTAGCATGGTAGGAAACAAAGGCAAGAAAAATTAACGAACAAAAAAAAGTGACCTGTTTTTGTGTTTTAACAATGCACTTTAATTTTGCTTTTACAATTGTTACTATTTTTGTTTTATTACAAAGGCAACTGAAAACTTTACTTTTAGAAAGAAATCCTATAAAAAGGCTGCCAGTGGAGCTTGGTAAGTACTTAATTTTTTCCCCCAGAAATCCTAGCAGACTTTGACTTTTTCCATGTAATGCTCTAGTCAGGATTAATACTGTATAGCAAAGTAGCTAAATATAACCAAAGATAGCTTCTTCTTCGAGTGCTTGCTCATATCCATTCCATTAGGTGTGTGCGCGCCGCGTGCACGATCGTCGGAAGATTTTTACCCTAGCAACACCGGCGGGTCGGCTGTGGAGCCCCCTAGAGTGGCCCCTTCATGGGGCTGAATATATCCCCCAGCCGACCCGCCGG